GAATGGTTTAGAGTCTGGGGTCAGGTCACACCCTCAAACCCTGAGCCAAGCGACGCTGGAAACACCATTGGGGCCGGTTGAGCACGTGAAGACGATGAAGCCGTTCCGAACGATGAGGCTGTAAAACAAGCAGCCTCTCCGCCCACCTAAGCCCTAACCCCAAACGCTAAACCCAAAACCCTTTTTTACGGCAAACCCTGAACCCTAAACCTCGATAATCGTCCGTAAAGCCCCGCAGCACGAAGCCCTATAAGACCCCCAAGCCTCTAAACCTTGCACTGCCATCCCTACATCCTAAGGAAGCAGGGTTTAGGGTTTGGGGTTTAGGGTTGCAGTTGAGGGTTTAGGACATGGAAGCGCCAATATTCCTCAAATAAGGCCTTGATCAGCCCAAATAAGCCTTCATAAGGGAAGCTGGTTCATCACGACTAGCCCCACAAAGTCATTCGGTGGGCCCTCGAAGCCCTCTGAAAAATATTCAAAAACTCTTTCCTCTTTCAGCCAATTTTGAACAAGTCAAGATATGCCGAGGGCCTACCAGGACCCTAAACCGCTAAAAAGTAAACCCTTACAACCCTAAACCCTAAACCCCAAACGCCCTACACCTGAAACCCTAAACCCTAAACGTTCTCGGGCCAACCGGGGACCGGTAGTTAGTCCAAGAACGGAGACGACCCCACACAACTCATACGGTTTAGGGTTTGGGGTTTGGGGTTTAGGGCCCCTCCACTCGGAAACTTGAATCAAACCTCATCTCTTGCGACACATCCTGAAGCTCGAGAGATGCAGCTGCTAAGGTGCGCTTACAGTACACCAAGTTACAGTTACGGCGCTAGCTCCTCCTCCCTAAACCTCGCAACCCTAAGCCCTAAACCTTCAACCTTCCCAAGTCTCAACCCGAACCCCCAGCTCACCCTTGCGCTGCCTGTGAGGACCAGCAGCTCCAATATCTGGGCAGTGGGCCACCACACCCCAAGATCATAGGGTTTACGTTTTAGGGTTTGGCGTTTGGGATTTAGGGCCTTCCAGTTTCGGGTTTAGGGCTTGGGCTTGGTGTACAAGGAACCTAGTAATGAAACACGAACCCTGCTTGTTTCAGATACCTAACTTAAGGAGAAGAAGGACCCCACGGGGGGATGGTTTAGGGCTTTAAAAGTCTAGTTGCTCGATCTAGGTATAGGGCTTGGGGTTCAGGGAGTTTCAGGGCTTAGTTGTTCGATCTAGGGTTTAGGGTTTAGGGCTGACACCTCTTTGCTTGCATCTTGGGAGAAGTAGGGTTTAGGGTTCAGGGTTCAGGGTTTAGGGTTTAGGATCTCGTCGGGCGCCTGGATGCCACGCACCTTAAGCTGCGCACGCAGGGTCTGCGCACGGCGGCAAGGGCAGACTCGCCTCAGGTGCCCCACCGAAAAGCCCAGGGTTTGGGGTTAAGTTTAGGGTTTAGGTTTAGGGTGTAGGTTTAGGGTTTCGGGTTTAGGTTTAGGATTTAGGGTTCAGGGTTTAGGGTAAGAGTTCAGCATCTCAAGTCCAAGCATTTCACTAGTAGAGCTCCTTACTCCGGTGTCGAATATCGACCCACCCACCCATTGGATCCCATAACATTATGAAAATATTCTACTTTTCGTTTCAATCTTAATGGAAAACCACGACGTTTCAATGGAAAACCGCGAAATTTGAAATTTCGGTTCCACAGAATCTTCGCGTTCGCGGTTTCCAATAATAGTGGAAAACCGCGAAGTTTCGGTGGAACCGAAATTTCGCGGTTTTCCATTGAAACTTCGCGGTTTTCCATCGAACCTTCGCGGTTTTCCAATAATCGTGCTGGAAAACCACGAAAATTATATATGTGGAAAACCGCGAAGATTTGGTGGAACCGAAATTTCGCGGTTTTCCACTATTATTGCAAAACCACGAAGTTTCAATGGAAAACCGCGAAGTTTCAATGGAAAACCGCGAAGCCATTAGCCGTTAAATATACATCGGTTGGAGAGTGTTCAGGGATCAGGGTTTAGGGGCTGGGAGCATAGGGTTGAGAGATTGGGGTTTAAGTCCGCCGACCCCCCACCCCCCACCCCCCCACCAATTGATCCTGAACCGTCCTGTTCTGCTGCGGGGTCGGCCGCTTGAGCCGGAGGCTCTTAAATTTCGGGCGGCTTTAGGGTTCGGATAAAGCCTCAAACCCTAAAACCCTAAACACCTAAACCCTCTTTTGCTGTTGGAGAGAGGGGGTTTTGCTGGCAGCCTCAGCGGCTTGGGGCTTAGGGTCTCTTGGGTTCGGGGCTTACTTTAGGGTTGGGGTTTTGGGGTTTAGGTTCAGGGATTTAAAAACCCCAAACCCTTAACCACAAGCTTGTCGGGCTTCTGGATTCAAGGCTTTAGCGTCAAGGCTGTAGCAAGGTAGGGAGCCAGGGGATTGAGGGTTTGCGCATTCGGGGTTTAGGGTTTCGGCTTTACTAGTAGGGGTTTAGGTTTAGGGGTTGAGGTTTAGGGGTTGAGGTGCCCCCAGGGCGCAGTCCTTTGTGCACCAAGCGCACCAGCAGCCTAAGAGTCGTTGTCGTTGGTTGGGGGATCAGGCGGCAGGGGGTAATGCTAACCCTAGAACCATAAACCCCGAAACCCTAAAACCCCCAATTAAGCCCAAAAACCCTGTAGCCCTAAAACCCTAAACCCCCTGACAACTCGCATTACCTACAGATAAACCCCGCAAGCCCTAAAAAAGTAAAGACAGGAAGTCCTAAAACCCAAATAGATCCTAAACCCTAAGCCCTAAGCCCTAAACCCTAAACCCTAAACCCTAAACCCAGCGGAGGCCCAGCGACTCCAAAAACCCTTGTTTCCTACTTGGAGATTCAGGGGCACTTATACCCCCAATTTTTTGCCACCCGCTTAGCTGACCTCTCGGACACTCTGCAGGGGAATGTCTGAATATGCTGTACGCGTTCGCCTTCGGCTACCTTGAAATCACCTCAGGTCACTGAAAAAACCTTCGAGTCCCCCAGTTGGTACGTCAAGTGCACCAAAGTAAGCGTCAACAACTAAAGCCAAAAAGAACAGCACCCAAAAGGAAAGCACCCCGCTGTTGGACTCTGGAATGCTCCGAAGTAGCTACTCAAGCTGCATGCAGATGTAACCCGAGAAACACAGCGTTTAGGGTTTAGGGTTCTAATCCCAATTAGAAGTCCTCTTGTAACCTGCTTAGGGGACTTAGGGGCTTATGAGTACAGCTGTAAGTTGCAATTGGGGTTATATGTACCCTGAACCTCCAAGTAGTGAAGGCATACTCCCTAAACGATACTGGAAGGGCCCTCTTGGGTTCACAGTGTTCAGCTTGATGCATTGGGCCCTAAACCTTTCCGGTTTAGGCTTAGTGATTAAGGGTGGTTTAGGGTTTAGGATTTAAGGGTTAAGGGTTGAGGGTTTAGTGTTGAGAATTTCGAGTTCAGGGTTTAGGGTTTAGGGCTTAGGCTCAACTGCACCCCAAACCAAGCCCAAACCTGAGAACCCTCGGCCTAAGTTTTTTCATGGGTTTAGGGTTCCTGCTTTTGGGTTTACGGTTTTCGAGTTTTTGGGGTTGAGGAGTGTTATGGGGCTTAGAGGCTTAGGTGTTTGAGCATCCTAAATTCACAAGTGTCTTTGACGATGAAGCATGTTTGCTCGAGCTTCCGCCACTGTCACCGGTTTGAGCGTGGCTTGCACCGGTTTCAGCGATGAAGCATGAGCTTACTGCATAGATCTGACTATAAAACCCTCTAAACACCGCATAAACCGAAAGCCACCTGGAAAACCCCATACGAACCCTTAACCCATACCCCAAAAAAGCCTGATGAGCCTTATGGAAACCCTAAGCCCTAAACCCTATAAGCCCAATACCCCTTCGGAAACCCTAAACACTAAGCCCCAAAAAACCAAAAACCCTTTAATTTAGAAACCCTAAACCCCAAACTGAATCCTTAACCTTCTTCAGCCCAAACCATAAGAAACCCCAACACTTAACCCTAAGCCGACAAAAACAAAGGACCGGATAACCCCACATGTCTATCTTTTTTCATGCCAGAAACATATGCGCGCGAACAAGTGTGTGGGTGTGTGCATGAGAGTGTGTGGATGTGAGTGTGAGTGTGTGAGTGTGTGAGTGTGTGAGAGTGTGAGTGTGTGAGTGTGTGAGTGTGTGAGTGTGTGAGTGTGTGAGTGTGTGAGTGCGTGGTGTGTGAGAGTGTGCGTGTGTGAGAGAGAGAGAGAGTGTGTGTGTGTGCAAGTGTAAGTGTAAGTGTAAGTGTACGTGTGCGTGTGTGTAAGTGTAAGAGTGTGTGTGTGTGTGTGTGTGTGTGTGTGTGTGTGTGTGTGTATGTGTGTGTGTGAGTGTGAATGTGTGAGTGTGTGAGTGTGTGAGTGTGTGAGTGTGTGAGCGTGTGAGCGTGTGAGCGTGTGAGCGTGTGAGCGTGTGAGCGTGTGAGCGTGTGAGCGTGTGAGCGTGTGAGCGTGTGAGCGTGTGAGCGTGTGAGCGTGTGAGCGTGTGAGCGTGTGAGCGTGTGAGCGTGTGAGCGTGTGAGCGTGTGCGCGTGTGCGCGTGTGCGCGTGTGCGCGTGTGCGCGTGTGCGCGTGTGCGCGTGTGCGGGTGTGGGTGTGGGTGTGGGTGTGGGTGTGTGTGTGTGTGGTGTGTGGTGTGTGTGTGTGTGTGTGTGTGGTGTTGTGTGTGGGTGTGGGTGGGGTGTGGGTGTGGGGTGTGTGTGTGTGTGTGTGGGGTGGTGTGGTGTGTGTGTGTGTGGTGTGTGTGTGTGTTGTGTGGTGTGTGTGTGTTGTGGGTGTGGTGTGGTGTGGGTGTGTGTGTGTGTGGGTGTGTGGGTGTGGGTGTGTGTGTGTGTGGTGTGTGTGTGTGTGTGTGTGTGTGGGTGTGCGTGTGCGGGTGTGTGTGTGTGTGTGTGTGTGTGTGTGTGTGTGTGTGTGTGTGTGTGTGTGTGTGTGTGTGTGTGTGTGTGTGTGTGTGTGTGTGTGTGTGTGTGTGTGTGTGTGTGTGTGTGTGTGTGTGTGTGTGTGTGTGTGTGTGTGTGTGTGTGTGTGTGTGTGTTTGTGTGTGTGTGTGTGTGTTTGTGTGTGTGTGTGTGAGTGCATGAGTGTGTGAATGTGTGAGTTCGGCGGGCGGGCGGCGGGCGGGCGGGGCGGGCCAAAGCAAAACAAGAACCCCACAGTGATGTGGGGAAAAAAGACAGACATGTGGGGTGGTCCGGTCCTGTAATTTGCGAGGGTTTTGGTGTGGGGCGGCTTTGCGCGCGCCGACAACATCGGGGTCCTAGAGAGAAGCCCCCAACCACGGTGTTTGCGAGGTTTCCGGGGTTGCGGTATTTTGCGGTATTTGTGAGGTTTTCAGGGTCGGAAGCCCCCAAGCACGATATTTGCGAGGGTTTTGGTGTGGGGCGACTTTGCGCGCGCCGACAACACTCGGGTCCTCCCAACCACGGTATTTGCGAGGTTTCCGGGGTTCGTATTTGCGAGCGCGAGCGCAGGCGGTAGCGGCGGTAGCGGCGGGGCGGGGCGGGCGCCGGGCGGGGGCGGCGTGCCAAAGAAAAACAAGAACCCCACAGCGATGTGGGGGAAAAAACCTAAGATCCTTAACCTTATAAGTCCAAAACCCTATAAGAAACCCTAAACCCTAAAAACCCTGCAAACCCTGTAAACCCTAAACCCTAAACCCTGATAAGCCCCAAAAGCCATGTAGATGCCCTGAGCCTTGATACGTTGTGCCCCAAAAGCAAGCCTTTTTGCCCTATAAGCCCTATAGAACCCCCCTAGAGAGACATGGGGCTTAAAGCTGCAGGCTTACCATACTCTGAAACCCATGGATTCCGAAACTCCCCTAAACTCCATAAGCCCTACACCCTAAACCCTGACTGTAGAAACCCAAAGGGACACTCGAGCCTAAACCCTGAACCCTAAACCCCAAACCTTAAACCCTAAACCCTAAACCCTAAACCATTCCAACCAAACCCTAAACCGTAAACCTAAAGACCTAAAGCCCTAAAGCCCTAAACCCCAAAGCCCTAAACTTCTTTGGAGGCCCCAAGGTGCCAGGAGATCAGCGTCATCACTGCCACAACCACTGGGATGAGATAGCGCGCTAGCATCTCCTCAGTGCCCCAGATCTTCTAAAGCCCCGTTTAGGGTAGAGCTTAGGGTTTAGGGTTTAGGGTTTAGGGTTTATATTGTAGCGTTTAGGGTTCAGGACAAAATTAAGGATGCTTGCTATGGTTTAAGGAGTATTCCCTAGTTAAGGGGTGTTGGAAGATCTGGAGTGGGTTTCGAAGTTCCGCAAAAAGGGGCGGCCTTTGGCTTCGAGGTTTAGGGCTTCGGGCTTAGAGTTTCAGGTTTAGGGTTTAGGGTACCCTTTTCTGTTTAGAGTTCCTGTGACAAGCCCGAATTTTCGCAACCCTAAATCCTCAACCCTAAACCCTAACCCCTAAATCCTCAACCCTAAACCCCATAAGGCAGCCCAGGCGTCGTTGAAGGACGAGGGGTGTGGCAAGATGCAGCCAAGACTTGGGATGGTGATCAGATCCTGGGCGTGGGTTCAGGGTTTAGGGTTTAGGGCCTAGGGTGTAAGATTTGGAGTTTTGGGGTTTAGGGTTTAGGGCTTAGCGCTCCGGGTTCAGGGCTTAGATGTAGCTGTCTTGCTCTCTTGTGTTGCGAGGAATTGAAGTGGAAAAGGAAAAACTAAAAAACATGTAATAACAATGGCTAAAAGAAGTGGAAAATGAGAAAGAGAAAAGATATTGGAAGGCCTTAGACGTTAAGGGTCCTTGGAGGTTCAGCGTTCTTTCTTCGGGCGCGTGAGGCTTATTGTGGGGGATCTAGGGCTTATGGATTTAGCCCTAAACCCTAAACCCAAAACCATAAACCCAAACGCTCCTGGGGCTCAAAAGGGCTTTTGGGGCTTGCGAAAGGGCTTGTGGGGTTTAGGGTTTAGGGTTCGGATGGTTTAGGGTTTGGGGGGTCTAGGGTTTAGGGTTCAGGTGTTGGGTTTAGAGTTGGGTGTCGAAGCACCGGAATCATAAGTTCCGCTCGCCCGTGTTAGGGCTTGGGGTGCGGGGTTTAGGGTTGGTGGTGTAGCATACAGGGTTTAAGAAGGTTTACGGTGTGGGGTTCAGGGTTTCGGGTTTGTGTCCCTAAGCTCTAAAGCCTGAACCTTCAGCCTCCGAAGCGCGCGAAATGATCCGACATGCCCAAATTGCTCAGGGCACATCCCAGTCTGAGCCCGACGATTGAACGCCTTAAACTTGCTAGGCCCCACCAACATAGCATCGCGTTTAATATGTAGGGTTAATGGTTTAGGGTTCGCAGGATTTAGGGTTTCGGGTTGGGGGTTTAGGGTCATCCACTGCCCAGCTGCTGTCGTGATGCTTCGTATAGTCGCCTCGGCGGGGTTAGCAACCCTCAGCCCTCTGGCCTTTTTTCCCCAAACACCACGTAAACCCTAAAACGTAAAACCATGCATACATACTCTCTTGTTGAGACTCGCATGCTCTTTCTTCTACTTTTCTTTTATTATCTGCTTGTAGTGGCTATGCCCTACACCCTCAGCCCTATATTCCTAACCCCTAATTAAAAACCTCAAAAGACGTTTTGGCTGGCCAGGATCGAGGTCCTCGCCCTAGGCCTAACCCTTCGTGTGGTTACGACACAGCCGTACGTCCGAGTCGGCACGTGTTGTGTGCTCGAACTCACGCCACTGAGTTATTTGGCTCCGCCGTGCCTCCTGCGTAGAGCATCCTTTCTCTGCACTTACGTGGAGTAAGTAGTGCCCACTACACTTGGTTGCTGCAATTAAATTTGAATCTCTGGTTACTGGCCTTTTACGTGGGACTGGCCCCACAGGCACTGCCTTGTGGTTTTTTGCGGCCCTGGTATTTCGCCTTGTTCCTGAAGCCCACATGACCCTTTTGCTGATGTGTCACGCGCGGACGTTGACCACATCTCCTATCCCGCGTGCCTTCAGAGCCGACTCTGCCTCATCCTCTCCAGACACCACTGACAGTCAAGGCTCCCCGCGGCGTTTCGACATTGAGGATTTCGAGCGTGATGAGGTTTCCTCGTGCCGTGTTGCCTTCCACCAGGCTACCCCATGTGGACTGAGGCACTTCCTCTTGAGGCGACTCCCCTTCACATAGCCTGCGCAGCTGCGATTCGTATGCAACAAGTGACAGGGCATGAAGCTTGGGGAACTCACTTCATGTTGTGGCAACCCGCCATGCCAGTTATTGATCTGCATTGTGTAGTTACACCCAGACGTTGCGCAGGGGCGCACAAAGTAGCCTTTCTAGCAGACTTTCGCAGGGTGTGTGGACCAGGCCCCCTCTCGTTTCGAGTTCCCTTCTACGAGGGGCATGCTCACACGGATGACGCAGCCCTTGTGTGTGAGGCAGCAGAAGCTAGCTTGATTCAGGATGGGCTGCGGGATGCGCCTGGCGACTTCTGCATATCCACTCCCGGGCGTGGAGGCCTGCTCGTGCCTGTCTCTGGGAAGGCGTCGAGCCCTTCCGTTTTCCAGCTGCTACCAGCTGCTACCAGCTGCTACCAGTGGGTCAACTTATACCACAATGCGCCGGCCCCGTCCCCCGCTGCTTGCTTTAGTTTATCAGAGGGACCGGATGTTTTGGCACGGTTGGGAGTACCCACTGTTGGGGTTGTCACTCTGGAGTTTCCCTATGGGACCGACCTTAGCACCATGATCTGTAGGTTGCGGGCTGCCACGCTCAGCCACACAAACTTACAAGGTCGCATCTCGTCGAGGCCCTTTGTACCTGGGTTTTGGCTACTGTGTGTCGTAGCGTTAGCGCACGCGCCCCATGCCAAGCAGCCTCTTGACAAACGCGTGCTTTGGTGGCGTTGAGGTCCACTCTCGGCGCTTCACGACTCGAGCCCGGAGTTGTCCCTGTGATGTTGAACGACTCGAATGCGAGATTCGGGGAGAAGTAGGCGGCACTCCACAGGGTACATGGGGGTTTCCGAAGTTAGGGGTGCCTTCTTGTGGACTTATTGTAAGGGATCCCCAGAACCCTCACTAAACCTTATATTCGGGTCCCTTATGATCGGAAGCCCCATGCGCACCACACCCGGACCTGCGGGTTTGGGTTTTTGAGTTTAGGGTTGAGGGCTTGGGGTTTGGGAGTTTAGGGTTTTGGGTTTGGGTTTTAGGGTTTGGGTGACAGCCCAACACCCGCAACTCCAGAATTCTGTCACTCATTCTGCTTTGCCTACAGATGTTGCTCTGTGCAGCTGAACACTCTCAATGGATAGAGCTGGGTTCGGAGTTTGCGGTGAGGGGCCTAAGTGTGCAATCCTTCACCCAAAACCCTCATCCCGAAACCCTAACTCCAAAACCCTAAACTCCTAAATCCTCAACTCCCTAAACTCGTAAACCCTTAATTCCCCAAACTCCTATAACCACCTAAATTCCTGAAAAACAACATCCTGTCTGTCTGCGGGTCTAGGGTTTAGGAGCTCTGGGAGTGTAGGGTTTAGGGTTTAGGAGTTTAGGAGCTTTGGCCTTAGGAGTTAGGGGTTAGGGCTCAGGGGTTGAGGGTTTAGGGCACCTATTGGAGGCTTGGGCGGGGGAGGGGTGCAAAAGCCCTCTTTGAGAAAAGCCCTAAACCCTAAACCCTAAACCCTAAACCCTCAACAAAGAAGTGCGCTCTGGTGGCCCAGATTTCAGAAAGTAGTGGTGGCCAGCGCACCTTGAACAAGGACACCTCGGCCCGCAAGGATTTGCGGTTTAGGGTTTGGGGTTTGGGGTTTAGGGATAGGGTTTATACGGCTTAGGGTTTATAAGGCTGAAGGCTTGGGGCCCCAACTCCTAGACCCCAAACCCTCAACCCCATAGCCTCAAAACCCTACACCCCTACACCCTACTGCCGACACCCTAGACTCCCAAACTCCCAAACCCTAAACCCTAAACCCGGAAACCCTAAACCCTAAACCCAAAAAACACTCCGAGCTCTTGGATCCTTTCGACAACGTTGTTTTTCTAACGGACCCGCATTGGGGCTTAAGGTGTGAGTTGGGATTCCGTGCTGGGGCATAAGGTTTCAATTTCCAAGACAAACCTCCTCATTTGATTTGGGTTTGGGGTTTGGTGGTTTGGGGGCTTTTTGGGTGGCTTTGCCGCCTTAGACGGCGTGGGGTGGGAGAAAGGTGTCAAATGGCCCTCCATAATCGGGCCAGAGCTGCTCTTCGCACCTGACGAGGCGTTCGCGCCTCTTCTGCATCCTAACTTCCACAGCATCTGCGCCATATGATAGCAAACCCTAAACCCTAAACCCTGGACCCTAAACCTTTCCCTGTAGCTCGGTTTGCGGTAGGGGCCTGTTGTCTTGGCGGGGGTTCGACCTTGTGGACTCGAAGCCTGAGGCCCTGAACGCCTGCGACGTATCAAACCCTAAATCCTGAAAGGTTTAGGGTTTCGGGTTTCGGGAGCTATGCAAGAGGGTTCTCATGCGGGGAGTTCAAGTACTGTTCAGGGCCTGGGAGGCTAGAGGGTTTGGGGTTTAGGGTGTATAGGGTTTAGGGTTCGTAAGGCGCGGGCGATGCTGAGAATCTGGAGATACTGGAAGTTCTGTGCGATCGCTTCCTGGCATTTTTCGTCTATGAGGCGTTCAGTGTACCCAGAGACTCATAAAACCTTTAATGAAGGTACATTCCCTCAATTACACTAAGGATCCTTAGTAGAATTACGGCGTATTCCTGAAATAAGGGATTATAGGGTTTAGGGCTTAGGGGTTTGTAGGGATTGTTGAGTAAGGGGCTGGCAGAATTGAGCTTCCAGCCTTGACCCTCAAAGCCCGAACTCCCAACCCCCGTAACTTCAAAAACTCCCCCCAATACCCCAATTACAAGTATGAGTCTTCTTATAACCTACTTGCGGGACTTAGGGGCCTTATAAGTACAGCTATAACTAAAACCCCTACAGCATCGCAGGGCTGACGGTTGGATGTAAGTTTCCAGTCGCAAGCAGACGCGTGAATTGGCCCATGAGCTGGAGCTTGTGATCATGCTCGTTGCTCAGGTCTTCCAGCTCTTTGTGCAGCCCCTAAACGATTAAACCCTAGACCCGGAACCCCTAAAACCCTAAACCCTAAAACTGCCTAAAACCTCAGAGTCCTAAACCCTACCCCAAACCCTGAGTTGTGGTCCGCAGGTGAACCGGAGGTCTCTGCCGTACAGCTTTGGCGGTGTGCTTCCCTGCGGGACCCTTTGTGAGCTTGCGAGGTCGGTTGGGTAGCCCTTTGGCTTGCAGGGTTTAAGGATTTTGGTGTAGGGTAAACTGGTAAACCCTAAACCCTAACCCTCAACCAGCTATACCCTGCAATTCCTGGCTCTAAACCCAAGCGGCCCGCAAGCCAGAGAGCGTCTGCAGCACGTGCTTGTTCTTCTCCTTGGTGACCTGTGCGGCCAAGGAACTGCCGCCCAAAGCGTAGGTTTTAGTGGTTTAGGGTGCTTTGGGGTTATGGGGTCTCGGGTTTAGGGGTTTAGTGGTCTATGGTCCATGGGTTTAAGGGTTTTGGGGGGCTAGGGGTTTCTGAATTTTCCCGCTAAACGGGCACCTCATTCCGTACTAAGATAGATGGTTACGGTTAGGGCATACGGCTTCGGCAGCCTTCTTGTGATGCTGCGCCATGCAAACCATAGCCAAGGAGATCCTTGGCTGGAATTCGGCAAGAAAGGGTGGTTGGTTTAGGGTTTAGGGTTTAGGGTTTAGGGTTTAGGGTTTAGGGTTTAGGGTTTAGGGTTTAGGGTTTAGGGTTTAGGGTTTAGGGTTTAGGGTTTAGGGTTTAGGGTTTAGGGTTTATGGTTTCGGGTTTAGGGTTTAGGGTTTAGGGTTTAGGGTTTAGGGTTTAGGGTTTAGGGTTTAGGGTTTAGGGTTTAGGGTTTAGGGTTTAGGGTTTAGGGTTTAGGGTTTAGGGTTTAGGGTTTAGTCGCTCACTCTCGCACAAGGCCGGCAAGGTCCATGGGTCCGTTCATCCAACTATACTACTCTGCAATGGTCAATCAGGTCCAAGGAAAAGGCACACGCCAGGTATTAGTATACATCGACAGACCGCTCCGACCACCTCGATACGCCTTCACTGTGAAACCACTTATATGTAAGGGACTTCCGCAATGACCCGTATGGAGGTCGACAAGGACAAACCACGAGATACTAAGACCCACCCCCAAACCATTAAACAGGCGATCCCGGTTGCCCCTCACATCTCCTCGAAAGAACTAAGGTGTACTATGTACAACTCGCCGTCTCTTGTTATTCAACAAAAAAACCCAACAAATGTCACTCTACCTCATGGGTTGTCATTCAAGGCTTAGAAGTTTGTTCTCGGCTTTGCGAGGTTACAGATGAAGTGAAACTGCCCTCTAGCTCATATCTGCACCTTCCTCTCATCTCTCTCATTCGGCTGCTCTCTCCATTCGCGAACCTCGAGGAACTCCCCCCTGTTGTTGCATCTCGTGTCCATCTCATGCAGGCCGCCAAAGGCTGTCTTGTCATGTATTCAGGTGAATTCCACGCAGCAGGCCGTGGCAATCATGCAGAATCGAATCATCCTCTCTTCCAGTCATGCACATGCACTGCTTGCAGATCTGAATTCTCACTTCGCCCGTCAATGCATTCTCCCTCTTGCCCATCTCACCAGTGACCACGTCTGCATCTCAGCACACCATGCAAAAGGGAACATGCAGGACTGATGCCACTGTCGCAGTCCTCCCATCGGAGGCAACCAGATATCCCTCCTCGTCACGCAGATAAATTCCATGCATCCCATTCGCCAGGGATCACGCCAAATTCTTCACATCCAGCCCCAGGGTCCAGGGTGAATTCAGTGTGTTGCTGGCTGCTTGCAGTGGTCTCCAGTTCTTTCCAGAGGTCGCTGTGGCCTCCCCTGTAGGCCGTAGCTCCACTCGCGTCTTCCAGGGGGTCTTGTGTTGCGTCGAGGGCTTTCCACCATGGCATTTTTACTAGAGTACACCCCATACATGTTGGTGGATTAGCATGAGAGTGATTGACGTGATCGGAGTGTTTTAACCAGGTTTCAGTTAGGGGGGGGGGGGGCACACACGCACACACGCGCACAAGAGAGGAGCAGGAGGAGTTCAGCGGGGAGGAGTCGGAGGAAACACTACCACAAAGGTTCTTCCGCCTTCATCGCCACTGTCATCATCATCCGACATCCATCCAACAGCCCTTCCCCCTCCCTGTCCCCCTGGTTGCTCATGCCGCTTGTTGACAAACCCCATTTCGCGATCATTTAGGAACTTCCTCCATTCCTGTTGGGCCCAGATCTGGCGTTGTCCTGCATGCAGCATCTCTTTTGCTATACGACCTGCATCTTCCCAGCTGGTTAGGGGGGGGGCAAAGCATTGGGCGCGTAGTTGCTGGTACATGGAGAGCTGCCGGAACATCATTCCAGTGCTGGGGGGGGCACGCGGAGCGTGTGACGGTATATGTATATATGCCTCTGTCGTGCTGCTCCTATGGTGTGAGAACTGAGCTCTGTGCGTTACCAGCGTCGAACTCAGCTTGAGGGCTCGGGCCAGTCTGTCTCTGGGCTCCTTCCCTCTGAGCTTCGCACTTGAGGGGATTTGGGCAATCTACCCGCTCGGGGGGGGGGGGGGTGGGGGGTTTCCACATCGCCCTCATTCGACATCACTTCACAGTATGGAGCAAGTACCAACTCACAACAGGGCCTCCTATTCTCCCTCCCTTCCCTCCCTCCCTCGCCTTTTTTGTCATTTGGCTTCAGCGCTATCACAACCTGGGCACCTACACGCATACAGCTTCGTGCGTCCAGTTTTTGGGGCCGGCATGCACGTGCTAGTCCAGGCGAAGTCGGCTCACTGCATGCACGCGCACTTACGGCTACGTGTACACAGGCAGTAGGCTAGTCCTCATGCATCACATTCTTTCACGCAGAACGCACCCATGTGCAAATGTCAGTGGGGACCTATAGTACCCGGGTTATTCAGGGTTAGCGGGGGGGGGCATGTGTGCCAGTATGTACAGGCGTGAATTCTTGCATTCGAGCACCGATATCTATCACCCACACACAACCACAACCCAATACTGCAGGAATACGCATGGTAAAAGTTTCCTAACCAAAGTGTACTTGTCAGCAGCATGCACGAAATTCGGCAAATGTCAAATTCAACCAGGCACAGAATTCAGGGCATGCATCTGTTGTGGCCGTGTCATGCTTGCGTGCATAAATTCGTCGAATTCTACCAATTCTTGAAATTCTGCCCCTCATGTGTCGCGCCTTTGCCAGACCAAGTCATGGCCTGTAGAGCATTGCCACGAGTTCATTCGGCTCCACCGTCATCTGCTGTCCGTTGGGGAGCGTCAGGATTGGCGTGCCATTCCCTCGTTGGTGGCTCAGCCTCGCTCCTCCCAGTGCCTCCACGAGGTTGATGACAGGAGGCATGCCACTCCCTCCATCCGTTGAGGGGCGACTTCCGCCTCCCCCCGCACTCGTAGGGATCGGCGGCGCCCTGTTGTGGAGGCGTGGCACTCTGTCAAGGAGGGTCTCGCTGTTCTCGTGGATGGCCCTAGCATTGGCCCCAATGTCTCTCAGTGCTTCACGGCAGAACTCATCATGCGTCCAATCCTGGTCCGCCATCTCTTTGAGGCGCAGCCGACACTCCGAGACGCTCTCCTCAATAGAGTTCAGCGACTTCAGCTGCCCAATCTCCGTCTGCAGCTCCGTCACTTTGAGGGCTGCTGCTTGGAGGTCCGCTGCCACCGCAAGCACTGCTTTCGCATTGAGTTGGAGGTCTTTGCTTCCTCTGTCCACGTGTGCCAGGAGCTCCTTTCGAAGTTCTTTCTGTTCTGAGGCCATGAGCTCTGCCTTCTGGTACGCGTTCTCCCCTTTCTGCTTGATGGCTTGCAAGAGCTGGTTGTGGCCACTAGCTGTTTTTGTGGTGTCCGCCTTGATCTCCGTGACGAGCGACTCCACCTTCTCGAGCCTGGTTGCCATCGGCCCCAAGATCATTGCCATCTTGTCGTTTTGGGCACGCAGCTTGATGAGGTCTGCACCCATCTGGTCAAGGATCTTGCTGATGCCCGTGGTCTTTGTCTCCACCACATCAACTTTGATCTTCACTTCTTCAGCCCTTTCTCGTCCTTTCAGCCAGATCTGCGACTTGTTGCAGTCGTGCGTCCCCTGCTTGGCTCATCGTCCATTGGTTTTCAGCTCGGGTTTTCACTTCCATGGTGACCTTCTCGATCATCTCCCCCAAGTCTGCTTTTAGGTTGTGAACAGCCTGCAGGGTCTGCTGTTGCAAGGTGTCGCCGGTGGGCCAGTTCGCCATCTTCGCCGCTTGCAACCGTTTCCCGATGCTTCTTCGCTCGAGCAGCCACGTTGCCAGCACCAAGACGAGGAGGCATCCAAGCATGTTGGGCACCGAGAGCCCATCTTGCCACACCCTGCTCGTCTCTTGCAGCATCCAGGCCAGGATTGCGTCAACGCTTGTCATGGCGGACATGGCAGGCAGGTATGTACACTACTACACACGCTACCAGTACTCACACGCTACCAGGACTGCAGAAGCTGGACCGGGCGTCGGGGCAGGTTTTGGATTTGTACGCGTTTTCGCTCTCTAGTTATTTGACAATACACCATGCTGGGCAGCCCCTGTCCCCTTCTCGTCTCCCGTACAAGAGACCTCTCCTCCACACTCTCTCTCTCTCCCGCTCTCCCAACCCCACCCGAGCTCTTTGCGGGGCACTAGCATATTGCACACCAGGTCCCCACTCAAACGGAAGGCTGTACAGTGACTTTCATCATGCTTGTGGCAGTAATGGTCAAATTTGGTCAAATTAGTTTGTAGGGGCTCGGGACAGCGGGGGGCTCCACCATGGGATTGTTTCTGGTGTAGAAGGAGCACGGGAGGCTTCAGAATCCGAAGAGTCATCAATATCAATAGGACTGACGGTTGCTTTACGAAGTTTTGTTCCCCAGTTTAGGGTAGGGGGGGTTCTACTGCCCATCAGGGGGTGCTGTAGTTCAGTTCTACCTGGCCGCCACAAGGAGAGCTCAGCTCTCAGCTCCTGCGAGGGTTTAGGGTTTAGGCTTTAGGGTTTAGGGTTTAGCGTTTAGGGTTCGCCACCCGCACTGCGCGCACACAAGCACCCGCTCCGCAGGGTTAAGTCGAGGTCTCCGGGAGTGGACACGCTGGTAGGAGCGCGCCCCGAAAAGGTTGCGGACCCTAGAGGGGTCCCCTTCATGCGAAGGTCTGCGTCATTAACGATGCTTACGGCCGGAGCACGTTCATGCTACTTCCAAGAGTTAGCAACAAACCACCCTACATCGCTCCTAACACTGAAATCACAGCGGACTCTCACATGCTCCGACACGCCTCATTCAGCCGCAACAGACTGCTGGCTGGCTTCATACTGGCTTCACATTCGTGCTCAAAGCCTCGATGAACGACATGGGGGGCTATGCACCCGGAGCGTTGGTCTGTCACCACCAAGAACTCGCAACAACCCACCCGACATCGCTCCTAACATTGTGATACAAATGTGGACCCGCTCCGGTGGCCCTCGTGCAGTCCGATCGGACCTCAGGCCATGTTGACTATGAATTCAGGGGCTCTTGTACAGTGTTGGTGGAGGGCACTTTCGGGGCATTCGGGCCGGGACTCCGTTGCGATGACACCAGGGGGGAGTACCAAACAACATGCATCACGAACAACGTTGTCTAGGAGCCGGCCCGTCTGCTTGCACGCTAATTAAGTCCTCTAATTAAACCTCAGCGTCGAATTCGGGGGATGCTGCGCCTAGTGTGGTGTGGGGTGCAGTTGGGGGAAGGCATGCAGAGCAGTCGGGGGAAGTCATGCAGAGCAGAACGCTGTGTTTGGGCATGCAAGGTAGGGGAGGCCGCAAACCACCCATAACACAAACCCTAGGGTCGTCGAGGGAACTGACCGGTGTGTGCTCTGATGGTTCCCCCTTGCAGTTGTAGTTCGAATTAGGTGCAGTTGGGGGGGCTATTAATTGCGGGGCGTTGTGGACTACGGCGCGGTGAGGCAACCACCGGGAACACCAACACACCCAACATAGATCCGAACAGTGGAACACAGCTACCTGCCCCTCGCGCCTGTTGTCCTCTGGAGTATCCGGGGGGCGTCCCCTTTGCTATACCGAGCGCAGCTGGGCTCATGGGTTTAGGGTTTAGGGTTTAGGGTTTCGGGTTTAGGGTTTAGGGTTTGCTTACATAGCTTTGTACGGGTCCGAACCCGAGAGAAGAAACAGGAATAAGGGTACCACTGGGTGCTCTGGCAAGGGCTGTGCTATCAGCTCCTGTGCTGAGTGTAGGGTTTGGGGCTTAGAGTAGTTGGGTTCAGGGTTGAAGGTGTAGTGAGAAATCCTAAGGCTTAGGGTTGGGCACAGAGCTTTAGGGATTAAGCTGCAGCCGAAGCTCAGCAAAACCATCGTGGGAATGGCGTAAGCCGCGATTTGCACCATGCTTGCCTCGGTGGAGAAACAGGGTTTAGTGTTTAGGGTTTAGGGCTTAGGGAAGGGAGCCAGGCTTTGCAGAACATGGGGGAGGGGGGGGAGCTGGGTTTTTTGGTTTAAGGGTGTAGGGCTGACTCCCCCTCGAAGTCATGCGCACGTAGCAGTCCGTGGTGAAGAAGATCCCTAAACACCTAAACCCTAAACCCTCAACCTCAACGCCAAACCCTGAATGACTCTCAGACCATGAGCCTAACCCTAAACCCTAAACTCCAAACTCCTAAGCCCCAAACCCACGATCTTCAACCGCGGTCCTGGGAGGTCTCCTGCGCGCAACTGGTGAAGAACGGCTGACACTCTCCATCATGGCCACCCACGAAGCCTGGGGTTCAGGGTTTAGGGTAGGGTCTAGGGCAAAGTTTAGGGGTTCAGGGTTCGAGGGCTGAAGGGTGTTAAAGGTTTAGGGCGTCCTTGCCCTTAAAAGTTTAGGACTTAGGTTTAGGGTTTAGGGTTTAGGGTCCAGGGGTTTACAAGGGAACCAAGCCCCTAAAAAGGGGGAAAAGGCCCTACTTTGGTCCTAGGAACCCCATCCCGATTTTCAAAAAGGCTTCAGGCGTTTGGGGTTCCAGGGGTTTAGGGTTGGTTTTAAGGGTTTGGGGTTTTCGGTTTTAAGGGTGCTTAGGATAGTTTGCTTGCCTTTGTTCGGGGGTGCCAGGGGGGGGGGGGGGTTGAAGGCTTCGGGCTTGGGGTTAGGATGTAGGGCCCTTAGCTACAGTTTGTTAGGTGATGTAGCGCGTGCAACTTAGAGCTTTGGAATTTCGGGGCTTGTGGTGACGGGTTTTCCTTTTCTTGGTCCTAAGAGTTCGGGGGGTCTAGTTTCAAGAGCCTGATTTAAGGACTTAGCGGTGAACCCAAACCCTACTTGGAGGTTCAGGGTACTGATAACCCGAATTGTGACTGCACTGAAAAGCCCCGAGGTTATAAGCAGACTTAAATTTGGGGTTATAAGTGCCCATGAACCTCCAAGTAGTAAGGAGCAATCCCAAACCCCAAGCTCTGAAGAACCCAAAAAGCCTGCTTGGAAGGCTCCGATCTTCTTCGGGCCCAAAACCTCCAACCACCATCCCCCCCGAATACAAGAAACCTCCCTAAACCCTAAACTTAAACCCTAAACCCCAAACCCTAAACCGCAAACCCCAAAACCCCAAACCCCAAAACCCCAAACCCTAACACCCCAAACCCTAAACCCGAACCCTAAACCCTAAACCCTAAACCCCAAACCCTAAACCCCAAACCCTCAACCCCAAACACCAAACCTAAAAACCCCAAACCATAAACCCTAAACCCTCTGCTCGTTTGAGACCAGGCAGCCTTCTATGCAGAGCGCACACGCCTTGCCGGTGCGGCCGGCCGCGCATGTGCTGTTCCTCGTGGCTTAGGGTTTAGGGTTGGGGTTTGAGGTTCAGGCTTCCTTGAGGCTTCAGATTTGCAGGTTCGGGGTATTCAATTAAGTTTACTCTAAACCGAGAACCCAAACCCCAAACCCCACACCCCACAAACCCGAAAGCCTGTAAGAGTTTGAGTTTAGGCCATGTTGCAACTAAACTCTATACTGAACTTGGAATCCTAGCAAAATTTGAACTTTAGCTGCTTCTTGGGAATTCTTGTAACCATTTTTTTAAGGACCCTAAGAACGACGTAAGCTCTAGTGCGTTTAGGGTTGACGTCTCCTCGGTTCCCTAAGCCCTAATTCGGCCCAAGAGTAACCTTGGAATGAAATTGAAAACGGGTACCTTTTTGGCTTAAAGGGCTTCTAAGGGAACCTAACCCCCTTAAAAGGGGAAGAAGGCCCGACTCTGGGTCCTATAGTGTCTCTGTTGCAGAAAGGCCCGCTCTATTTATGGTTTAGGGTTCAGGGTGTTTTGGGGTGCCAACAGAAAGGACCACGAGCGCACACGACACAGAGTCACCTCAACTAAAGAAACTACACGCAGTGATTAAGGCAAATTGACCCCCCCCCCCCCCCGCCCCCCGCCAAAAAAAGGTCAAGGTATTCGGCATTACTCTAGGTAGCGCTCACTAGGTTGGGCCTAGAACCCCTCCGGAAAAACATTGCTAAATCAGATAAGGTCCCCTTAAGCACAATAAGGGAACATTAAAAACCCTAAACCCTAAACCTAAACCCTAAACCCTACACTGGCTCAAGTCAGGATCCTTAACCGCCCGGCAATGAATGGCCCCGGCTCCCGGCTTCTTGCAGCGCCCGTCCGTCCATGCTCTTAGGGTTTATAGGGTTTAGGGTTCAGGGTTCAGGGATTAGGGTTTAGGGATTTTTTTTGGACGTTCTGCGCTGCCCCAGAAAGAAGCAAAGAAGCTCCTAAATCAGGCACTGACTCGTAAAGGGGCAGGTGTTCGTGCTGAAGCAGCGGTAGACGGATCCTGCGCCGGTCTTGGGGGAAAGCACTCCCTTAAATCCTGAACCCTCAACCCTAAACTACCTTAAACCCTAACCCTAAAACGCCAAACCCTGCCTAAACCTTAATTAACCCTCAACTCAAAATCTTAAACCGGATGGAACACTGGGTAGACGTCGTCGGAGCTTCAGAAATGAAACGTAGGAGTTTAGTGTTACATGCTAACCCAAGCGAGCGGAGTGGGTGCTTTTAGCAGCAGCGAGCTTCCAAACCTTAAACCCCAAACCCCAAACCCTATACCCTAAACCCCAAACCCCAAACCCTAAACCCCAAACCCTCAACCCCAAACCCTAACCCCAAACCCCAAACCAAAAAACCCCAAAACCTAAACTGGCCTCTGGGATCTGACCAGTGCCCAGGCACCAGGGGAGGCGGCTCCAAGCTTCGCGAGAAGCGGTTCTCCCACCGGCAGTCCTTTGGAGCTTTCGGGTGGGCTTTGGGGTTTAGGGTTTGGGGTTTAGGATCTAGATTTTGTTGTGATATGGCGCAGAAGCTGCGGAACAGAATGCCCTTGAAAGCTTCACAACACGCGAAGGGCAGCCATGGCCCGACTGTGGAGGGCCGGACATCTAGCACTTTTCTCCCCACCCCAGGTCGTGTAAGGCGGCAAAGCCACCTTAATCAATTCCTGTTTGGGTTTAGGCCTAAACCCTAAACCCTAAACGCTGCATGTTGTTTCATTCCCTGTTCGGGTCTCCATTACGCGCAGAGGATCCTTTCAGGCATAGTCTTGTGAGGAATATTCGCTTCTGTGAAAGCATAAGGTGCCTGCAGTCGAAGGCCCCCAGAAAGCTCCCAAAGGGCCCCCACAAAAATGTAAAAAAGAGATCCCATGCCCCCCCCCCCCCCCAAAGAAATCTAAATGTATAAGAATTATTATTGATAACAATCATAATAATAACAACGATCTTGGTGCCCCGTTGTGTGTAGGGCACCGCGTCACAAGTTCGACCCATGACTTTCTTAAGGAGCCAGTACTTGTCGCGGGTGCGTTCGTGGACCCTAAACCCTAAACCCTGAACCCTATACCGTACCCCATGCTGTGGGAGGCGGGCGAACGACCTGGGTCGGCATGCGCCATCGGCCCAGAGTTGAGGGCTTGGGGAGTAGGCCTTGAGGGTTAGGGTTTAGGGTTTGGGGTTTGGGGTTCGGGGTTCGGGGTTCGGGGTTCGGGGTTCGGGGTTCGGGGTTTATGATTTAGGGTGTGTGCTTTGTAGTACCAACAGAGAGACGATGGACCTTTCAAAACTATGAGCCCAAAACCCTGAAGCCAAGAACTCTAAACCTAAGTCCCTACACTCTAAAACCCTAAACCCCGGAACCCGAACCCCTAAACCCTAAACCCTAAAACCTTAGGTCCCATTCCCGAAAGCCTTGTTGATTTCTTTGGTCCCAAGGCTCCTGCCCTTCATTGCAAGGAACGCATCCCCTGGATAGCTCCTCCTCCTTCCAGAAGTACCTTACTTGTCCGGTTTCGGGTCAGGGTTTAAAGTTTAGGGTTTAGGGTTTATAGGGTATAGGGTATAAGATTTAGGGTTTAGGGTTTAGGGTTTACTGCAGGGTGTCCAGCTTACTTGGGAAGCTGAAGATCTAGGGGCTACACCCCCCAAAGAAAGCTGAAGGTTACTTGCTCGACTGCTAAGGTACCCGTCGCGGCAGCCGCAGTTGCCATCCGTGACCTTCGCTAGCCGCTTTCAGGTTTCAGGAGGTTGGAAGGGCTTTGGGCTTGGAGGGAACAAGAAACCCTAAACCCTAAACAGTAAACCCTAAACCCCAGACTCTAAACTCCAGGCTTGGGGTTCAGAGGGTTGTGGGGCTAAGGTGGTTGAGAGACCTGCGGAATGTGAAGGTCTCCAAGGTTTAGGGCTTGGGGCCTTTTCAGGTTTAGGATTTTGGGGGCATATAGGGTTTAGGGCATAGGGCTTAGGGTTTGGGGATTTCAGGGGCAAGCCCCGCCTCTTGAAATGGCCAGCCATCTGCCTGCGTGCGGCAGACGCAAGCAGCACGGCCCACGGAGCCATTCTGCACCTGGATGAGCTATGTCTATGTCTTTGATGAGATTATGATTATGGTTATGACAACGATTACGATTGCGATTATGATTGTGATTATGCTTGTTGTTGTTTTTGTTGTTGCTGCTGCTGTTGTTGTTGGTGAGTTTTTGATAATCATATCATGATTCTTACTATTACTATCAAACTTATTTTATGTTTACATTTATTACATAGGCAAAGCCTCCACCCCCCCCCCCCCCACTAACATCTCAGATTTCAAAACCCTAAAGCCCTACAACACAAGTAAACGGCAAAGCCCTAAGAAGCCCAAAGCCCTCACAAACCCTTCAAGCCCGAAGAACCTCTATAGCTCTAGATGCTAAATCCCCAACAGGCCCCAACCAGAAGCCCTAAACCCTAAACCCTAAACCCTAAACCGTGAGCTCAGAGCAGAAGCTCATGGGGGGGCTAGGGGCCAGGGCTTAGGGCTGAAGCTCTACTCGGGTTTGGAGGCTGGGTTTTGGGGTGATTTGTTTTTTTTGGG